ACTTCCCGTCTTGACTTTGAAAGCTCTGGACTCGGTCGAGCCAAGTCAGGCAGGCTTGTCATTTCGTCGCTCCCCTGACGAAAGAACTTAATTCCATTTCAATGTTGCCAATTTCCCCCTCGTATATTGCGTTTTTCCAAGAAGAATACATGTAGCACATTATGAATATTTCAAGGATACCTATCTCTTCTGATGTCATGCAAAAATCAGAAGAATTTTGGACAAAAATTTCACACGTACACATTTTTTTGTAAAAATTTTAAGAGTTCGAATTGATTTTGCAACCTCGGGATGGTGTTACGTTCTTTCGTCCGGGGAAGTATAAAAGACAGCGAACGGAAATCTTCACAGCTGTATTCCCTCTGTTTACTTTCTCTTTGAATGTAAGACAGTGAATAGCAATATGTTCTTAGGTTTTTGCCGATAAGCTGGAGAAAAAGTGACGTGTTTCAAACGCGATATTCTTGAATTAGCCGCCAAGAATTAAGGCCCCTTAAATCACGGGAAAAAAAAAAAAAAAAAAAAAAAAAGATGCTAACATCAAGAAAACAAATCGTCGATATCAAACAGAAACCTTTCCGACTGAATTTGAATTAGATTTTACTATTCATTCAAAAGTTTTCCTTGTCGGTAAATTCAAGTGTCACGTTTCCGGTGAATAGTTTTTGAGCACTTGTGCACTGCAATATTTGGCTACGTTGTCGCACAGAATGATGTGACTGGTACATGAAACGCGCACTTCGCTTGCGCCAAGTCAAAATCTCTGACGCCGTTTGGTTCGTTTAAATAAGAACCGAAGAAACACCTCGAAATTTTCCGAGAAAATTCTCGAAGGGTTCGAATTCCAAAAACAAAAGTTCGTTGGTTCGTTTAGAAAAGAACGAAACGTGCCACGATGCGACGCTGCGAATTGAAATGCGTGTCCTGGCCTGTCTAGAAGAGGAAATAATTAGAGGCGATTCGGTGATCTTAATTACAAAGCCTGTGGATGCAACTATTCGTGTTCGAGGGATGTCCGTGTTGCATACACACAAAATTGCAGGTGTTCTGGTTTTCTCTATTGCAGTGCTTGCCCATGACTGCAACAATTTGTGGTCAATGTATCGCATCGCATATGCGATCTGGGATTTTTTAAGATTTTAAATTAGGACCGTGTCTGCCTCAAACTTTGAATCTCAATTGATCGATCGACTATAAGAAGTATCAGATCGTTCTCCTAAATCGGTAGTGACTCCAGCAAGTTGGCACCATTTCAATTCCTAATCTATGAAAAATATCAATTTTAGGTGGGACTAGCTGCCTTAACAAGAATCGATTGTTTTACAAACATTTGAATTAAAGAAAAACAGTGTTGCCAGCTTTCAAAAATCACCACTGTCCAAAGTGCAAAGGACCCACATCATATGGATAGTCTATAAATACGGCTCTTTGTCACAATGTACAACATTCGGGGCCGCCTTGGGGAAAGGCTGTTTAAGGAATGACTACGAATACAGCCCATAGGTCGTATTTATAATCGTTCCTTACACAGCTCCATTCAGGGCCGGATTTAGGAGGTGGCCACATGTGCCGCGGCCCACGGCGGCAAATTCAGGGGGCGGCAAATTTTGCATTTTTTTTTAAATGTAGGTATAAAAAAATCGGATTCAGAAAAGAACTACAAACGAGAAAAAGTATCAAAATCTCTTATTTCGTGAGAGTGTAGTAATTTCTAATTTTGTCGTCTTTCGGTGATACAAAGGATAACACCTTTATTTAGTCGAGTTTTAGGAGAAACCAAACACGGAACTTGGCCCGGAGCGGCGCGGCGCATGAGATAGAAAGGAGAAGCCCTCGGCGCGGCGGTCAGCGTGTAACACATAGTAGCGCCTACAAGACTGCAAGAATACTTCACACATTGCGTCAAACACATTATTCTGGCGTTTTTCGTGTTAAACGGTTGGCTGCCCATTGGGGCCCCACCCCAAGGGCTCCATATTTCGACACGTCCTCGTCCTGACTGACATGCTAGGGAAAAACGCCGTCTGAGCCTTCAGGCGTTGCCAAATTTTCGTTGCGAATTTCCAAGGAAACAGTTTAACATTTTTCTTCGAATTTTTCAGTTAATTTGGCACACAGTTAAATCCAAAATATCTGAAAATTTGAGGGGAAACTATGCACAACTTACCTCAGAACTACATGTTTTATCCGGGGAAATTCGGCAACTACTGAATGTTCATACGGCGTTTTTCCTCAGCAAGGCAGCTAACTCTTCTCATAGAGGTACTCGAGGAGCCTCTCCCGGCAAAATTATTTCAAAGTAGACTTTCAAGGTCATCTGACGAGCTATCGAGTGAGTTTCAACCATCGGGATCGGGGTAGCTCACTTGGCTACCAACGCTACTCTGTAGAGTGTTTTGAAGGGCGCTCCACCGNGGGGGGGGGGGGGGGGGGGGGGGCGAGTGGACGGCGAAACAGGTTAATTAATTACCCCCGCGGCACTCGCACTCCCGCCTGGTGTTTCTGTGTTCCTCTCACGCCCTCGAAGCCGGTATTTATCACAATGGGCTGCTTTCAAGGGTTGGAAATTGAGTCGCCGCTCGCGATACCCGGTCCCGTGCCGAGATTTAATTTTCGTGAAAGGTTCCCGCTTCCAGGGATCCACCGGATTCCCGGGCCTCGGGACCCGGGACGAGGCCCCGTAATGTAAGCACACGTACGGACCACGGCGCCGCCGAGTCCACGGGGGACCNGGGGGGGGGGGGGGGGCACCTCCAAACACCGACGACTTGATTAGCTCCTACCGTTGATGAGTCAAAATTTATCCGCACCCGTAAAGAGTTTGTCAGAGGCGATGGATACCTACGGCTCCGTTCCTTGCGCCAGGTAAATATCGACGGTGAAACTACCAAACCACGTATCTCGGTTTGCGACGTCGCAGACTTCCTGTCATACTTTATTTTTTAAATGAAAAACTACTTAACGTCTAGTCTTGAAAACTTCTGTGATTTTTCCTCTTTGTGCGGAGAAAATTCTGTGAAAATTTCAAGGAATGATATTGATTTGGTCGACTTCAAAAAAATAAAATGCGAGCGTAGATTTTTAAACACCGCAAACGAGATACGTGGATTGGTAGTTTCACCGTCGATATTTGTTTCTACCGCTGAAATTGAAGTGATTTAAACAAATTCAGTTCAACTGCATTTCACCTTCCAAAACGGACTAAGTTTATTCAAAAAGAAGCGACCCACACTGAGTTGAAACTGAGAAAAAGAGGTTTCAAGTTTCATTCTTGCTGGCCAGGTTGGCCTAGTAATCAGCGCGTCTGACTCTAGGGCGATACTGTCGTGCTAAGGAAAAACGCCGTATGAACATTCGAGAGTTGTCAAATTTCCTCTGATAATACACGAATTTCCTGGTAAACCTATCGATATAATCCTTCCAATTTTTCAGGTAATTTTGTTCGCAATTTCACCTAATAGGTCCGAAAAATTTCAAGGAAAAATATTCATAACATTCCTCCAAAATGAACATTTTATCGAGGGAAATTTGGCAATTCTCGAATGTGCATACGGCGTTCTTCCTTAGCGCGGCAGAATAGGTCCCGGGTTCGATCCCGGTGGTCGTGTCTAATTTTCACGGAAGTGACAGTAGATCTGCTGAAACAGATTCTACTCGGTCCTAGTCCCTGAAAATTTGAAAAGTGGGGAGCATGGATGTGCCTAAATCCTTCGATGTCTACGGACAGTAAACATAGTCTAAAAGCTGGGTGAAGGTGCCCTGTTACGCTCCAACTTCTCGTGATGTAAATCTGTATCGACGCCAATGCTGACTAGTCAAGAGCCATTCATAGACGGGCAAGAAGAGGGAAAGCATTCTACATCCCCTTGCAGACAAGCAGTGGGTGTCTCGATGTACTTAATGCTAAGCACACGGCCTGATTTGACGTATTCGGTTGGCGTACTGCCGAGAACTCTAAAAAATCCATCAACTGAGGACATCTAACCGTCTTTAACTTGTTCTTAGACATATATTTCTGGCACCACGAATCTTGGTATCACCTATTCATCAGATCAGGAGCAGAAAATCTTAAAAATCGTATGAAAAAATACAAAAAAAGGAGTTTGAAAAATTGGACTTACACATTTTTTTAAGTACTGATTGGATTGTGGAATTGACAGCTTTTAAACCTCTTTTTAAAGAGAGACCCGAAAGTAGAAGTTTTCATCTGCTACCAAGAGGCTTATTTTATTACTTCCTGACCTCGGTCAGTAGGGCTGACTATCTTTTCCACACAAAGTACATTTGTGGTAATTTTTCCGGTTATTGTTTCCGCACAAAATCATTTTCGCACATTTAATTTTTTTTTTTTTGGGGGGGGGGAAGTCGAGCAAAATATGAGGCATATTTAAGAAAAATGAATGAACAAAGATTGAAACAATTATTTCTTACTTTACTTGGCAGTCCAACAGGGATCATCAGGGTTCAGATTTTCGTCCGTGAATTTTCCATTTTCATCTGCGCGCTTAGCTCCAACTCCTTAATTATGTTACCTCAAATGAACTTTGTGCGGAAAAGATATTCTGCCGTCAGTAGTCTCTTTTTCTCAATGTGCATTTAAAAACGTGAATCGATATATTTATTACAATACAACGGATTTTTCATCGACTCACAGCACTCAGGAGTAAGAACTACTGCAGATGACACTGCACTGGTGGAAACCAAAACAACACAGTATTCCTAACTTTAGACAGGTTTTTCGATTTTGAAAGAGCTTCCAGGATTGATTGAAACTTCCACTATTCCAAAGTGTCTGATCATATTGCCACTTGACATTTTTGCGGGTGATTTTCATCAGAGAAAAAACTGCTTGATCTAACTCTACTACGCACTCCCCCTCGACGAAGAAGAAGGAAAAAGCAAAAATGAAAGCGGAGCATTAAACAAAGAGCATTGGGAGCGCGACTCGGAGGTGAGGCTTGCGGCGCGGCGAAGCGAAATAAAAATGAGAAAGGACTTACCTTTTTGCGACCGCAGCAAAGCATACCGTTATCCGGTAAGATGCTGCGTGGAAGTAGATTTCAGCTGGCTCCTGGACCCTGCAACACAATAAAACAACCCGGGTTACTTTTTTTGGAGTCGGTTCAACTTTCCAGATTAATCTACCTTCTTCCCGCCGTTCCTGGCCCTGGCCACCCGCGCCACTTTTCCCTTTTCTTTACGACGACGCCATTTTCCACGCCGAGTCCCTCTGAAAAACCCGTTGTCGTTAGCGCTTTCATTTGGACTTACGACATTAAGTGTGGCGATGAAAAATAGAAAGGAGGGATATGGATAGAGGCATGATTTTGTTGAACTTTTGGGCCTTGTTTTCCTTGCAAAATAGTGTGGGCCCTTGTGTTTTTTTCTTGCATATTCAATAAACTGAAACACATTTTTGAAAATCCTTGAAGCACTCAGAATTTCCTGACACATCGTCGCTCCTCTGACGTAAGGGCGTATCTTGGTTTCGAAGTGAGCCCTGAAAAGCTTGGAATTATATGAACAACAGGGTTCACGTGAAAATCTAGATACGCCCTTACGTCAGAGGGGCGACGACATGTCTGATTTCCGTGACATATTAAGTGATGGTTTTCCCTGATGACATGAAATTTTCTGATATTTTTAGTTCTCACTGACGGTGGACGCACCCTCGACAAAATTCAATCTTCGGGAGATACAGACGACTCGCGATGGAGTTACTTTAAAACCAACTGGATCTTGCGTATAAATAACAGATATTCAGTTACGGGACAGGAAGTGCAATGGGTGCGATGTCGAAGAAATGAAGTGGAAATTCGATTCCATCTTCGCGTGCGGATGTTTGCTCGCGATCCGCGGGGTGAACGGGCCACGGGCGTGAATTAGAGAGTGCCATAAAAATAGCTCCACTCCGGCTAAGATCTAAGTGATTAGGCCACCGACCGCGTGGCTCTTACAAAAATTTCCTCTCGTAATATACACGCTTCCATCGACAGGACGTCCAATTGCTGATTGATTATTTACAATAAATGCATATTTTAGAGACCCCCTGTCTCCCCCATAATGTAAAAGATCCTTTGCGAAACCAAGGCTTAGATTCGCCAAATGATGACTGATGACCAAAGGGTTGGGCAGTTGATTTCACAAACAATCGCAACCTAATTTGTAGAAAGGACCACTCCGACATTCATCAGTGATCATTAGGTGATTTTCATTTGATTTTTTGCGGAAAAAGTCGACCGATCATCATGAGGTGAAAAGCGGCGTTGACCACCGAATTTAAGGAATCACCCGAGCACATTGCTTAAACTGTTAGTAAGTACGGCGCGGCGTCTCTAAAGAAGATCGTCTCTTTGGAGCAGAGCTGAAAGCGTAGAGAAGGTAATGATAGCGGGCGAAAATGAAGTACAAGAGGGATTCGTTACAGTTAACATATTAAAGGGAATTTTATCGGGGCGCGCTTTGGCACCGTTTATTCTTCCTTTCTCTTCGTAATCCCCCACCCCTCTTCCTGCTCATATTTAGATGCACGTAAATCTTCAATTTCGTTTTCGTTTCCCCTTTAATTATAATGCACTATTAATATCAACTTTTCACCCCTCCTGTCCTCCCTTCTTATACTATTATTTCTTATTTACATTCGTTATTTCCAGTTCGTGCCTGGCGCTGACACGCAATCTGTAAGTTCCTTCCAGGCCATTTCTCCGGACTCCCCCGCGGCAACTGCCAGATTTTACGCCTTAATCTCATATTCTATGTCGTCATTTTAAAGGACATCATTTACCTGTGGTTAATGTAGGAGAAAAACACAGAGAGGAAGACTCCCTTGAGATTAGACCAATTTAATTCCCTGACCTCCCTGGTAAAAATTGGCGGTAGAGTCTGTGTTCCAAAATACCATAGACCTACAGCCGGCTGTAAGATTTCCAATAGCTTCTATAGCCGGCTACACAATTTCTTATAGCCTTTTATAGCCGATGGCGATTAAGCAACAGCCAGGCGATAAAGTGTATGCTAAACGTTACTAATTACGGATGCTAGGACTTAGTGAGTTTTTGGAATACTGCTCTCTTTTTGGGCCGTGGTATCTTGATTTATTTTGCGAGGAAAGCTCCGTACTTTTGAGGATGCCTGCCATTCCTAATATGTTGGAGTGCCTTCAGTTTCGTATGATATTGTGCAATACCTCTGGTGTGAAATAGTTGCTTCAAGCGCCGTGGCAGGCGGGCAGCCAGCGCAAAACACGCATTGGCGCCTACAAACCTAACAGGGATACTTCACGCGTTGCGCAATGCGTGAAGTATCCCTGTTAGGTTTGTAGGAGTCAGTGCGCCGCCGCTCCGCTTTGTATTAGGCTCTAATATTAATTTAATCTCGCGGAGTCAGCGTTTTTCAACTTATAATTTTGAAATGTTTGCACATCCTGTATGGATTATTCTCATTTTAATTGATGAAAAAAAAGTATGTATTCAAGAAAAATGTGCGTTTTGTAAATATTAAGGTGATTCCGTACAAACTTAAGGATTTACAAAGCACACGAATTTCTACACAATTTCTTTAAGCCTTTTATAGCCGATGGCGAAAAAGCAACAGCCAGGCGATAAAGTGTAAAGCCCGGCGATAGGTGCTATAGCCCGGCTGCATAATTTTGTATCGCTTCGTACTTCGTACTGCCCGGCCATATGATTTTCTCTGCTTTCTACAGCCAGCTATATGATTTTCTACAGCCTTCTTTATTCGGCTATAAGAGCTCCTATGGTATTTTGAAACGCAGCTCCTATCGCCAATTTTTACCAGGGTTTCCACCATTTTAAAGAGGAAGAAATTCGTCGACTGTTTTGGGGAAGGCGAATCTCATGTTCAGTGCAGTATTCTCTCTAAATAGAAAAATTGTCTGACCTCCAGCGAAATTCCCCTCACGAAAGAACTTAACTACATTTCAATGTTGCCACATTATCCATCGCGAATTGCATTTACCTTGGAATTCTCGGGCATTTTCAACTGAAAATTTCAATGACTTTCCCTCTGATTTTATGCCAAAATCAGAAAAATTTTGGAAAACAATTGCTCTGGTACTTATATTCTTGTGAAAAATTAAATTGCCTGAGTTAATTTTACAACCTTGAAATTGGGTTACGTTCGCATGTCCGGGAGACGACGATAAGTTACTCGTTGAGCACAAAAATAAATACTTAGGTGTAATTATGTTCATTGAAAATTTCAAATGCGGCGAGGGGTTTTTTCGGTGAAAATTTGATTTCTAATGGACTAACGTTCTTTCCACGATTTTTATTTGGATTATGTCTAGAAAGTTCGTTTAAATTAGAGTGAGAGATTTTGCTCCTGATTTTGGGCGATTACGTGTACAGATAATAGATGGGAGGTAGCGGCGTTCAAGGACACGGAAAAGTATGATAGGATTGAATTCTATCCTTGCCTCACTGTCAATTGCTGACATCGCTGAAATAAACAAGAGTATCTAAAATCCCGAATCAATACGTAGCGAGATGTCCAGGAAGATGAAGGGAGAGAAAACGAACTAAACTGTGAATTGGATCAACGGATAAAAAAATCGGAGCGGGGGGGGGGGGGAGAAAACCCTTACACAGTATTGAATGGTGCAGAGACAATTAAGAGGGCGAGAAGAGCGAGGGGAACATTAAGAGCCTCGAGAGATCGATTTTCGATATTTCCCCATTTGAAGGTAGGGTAAAGAATCGATCATCGAAGTGTTCGTTGCGAACACCCTGCTTATCGATCTTTTTCCATAGGTTTAAAGGGCAGATCTATCGATAGATCGCAAATCCCGCCGCGCCACTGGTGAGCCGGTCAGGAAAAACTGGTGGTCGACCGGGGGTGAAGGGTGGAGAGAAATCCTAATTTAGTTTCCGTAAGGGTTCCCTCCAACTTTCCCCGGGCAAACGCTCACGTGCATTATCCGGGCGATATTTAAGGCTTTCACGGTGGATTGAGACCAGAGCGGATATGAGGGGGCGGTTTTGTTAGAGGGAAAAAGAGAGACTGCTAAGATTCAAGAAAAAAAAAATCCTCCCTCCTGGCCGCTTGCGTATCGGATGACCTATTTTCAACCGGGCGGGGTACCAGATACCTGTGCCTCACCGAGATGTGCAGCATCTGAGGGTGGGGGTGGGGGAGGGAGAGCGAAGCTTAATCCTAATTTCAATTAATTTCTGAATCATTTCATTTCCTGAGAGAAGTACTCAAGATGTTCCACCGTCCTTAGCAATAACACCGTATGAACATCCAAATCTTGCCAAATTTTGTCCGATTTAAAAAGTTACATTCATGGATGAAAAGGGCCGAGTTTACCAGAAAGGAACCAACCCACGTTTTCGAAAAATTGAGTTTAGAATGTTTTTGAGTTCCAATAGTCGTATATTTTCTCCTGCCAGAAACTCAAATTCGAAAAAAAAAAATTAGTTTGTGAAAAGAGGGGTTCAAGTTTTTTTGTCTACATTGAGTCTTACAAGGGAGTAAAGCATCGAACCTATTTTTTTGACAAGGTGGAGAAATGGTGCTGGTTCCGTACAGTTTCGCGGGGAAAACAAAGCCGAGAAGTTCCAAAAATTAAATTTTCGGTTTCAACTTGATGCGGGTTGGCTCCTTTCTGATAAACTTGGTCCAAGTTATGAAGGCTATTCCTCACCAACTTCGGGTACCTTCGATGAAATTGAGAAAAAATTCACCACTAAACAGGGGAGAAAACTGAGCACAGCGACATATTTCGTCGTTTCCCTCGCGGAAAAACCTATTTTGCGAGTTTGGAATGGAGTTACGTTCCTTCACCCGGAGAGCGGCCATGTTTTCTCGTTGAAAGACGCCAAACAGGTTCAATATACCTATTGAAAACTTTCAAAAGTATAACTGGTAGAAGAGAAATGAATATTCGTAAATTGTATTGAACACAGTACATTCAACTATCCCAACAGGTATGCAGAAAATGCTCGTGGACGTGTGAAAATGTGAAAAGGCCCTTACAAATGTGGAGAAAGGAAAAATTGTTAAGGGTCGAAAGTCAAAAATCAAACCAAAGAAGAGGGAAAGGGTCCTCACTTTA